TTTGCCTATGAAGGAGTGTGGGCCGGCTCCCTTGATGAAATGTGGCTCTCATCCACATGCCTTCCGCTCTTATTCCTTCGGGTTTACACTGGATATGGAGTGTGTGGATGGAGCTGTGGGTGGTGCAGCGCAAGCCATCTATGGTCCCTCTGTAGACGTAGGCGTCATGTGACTGGCCACAGTGACAAACAAAACCGGAACCTGGATGCCACCGGCCGTGCGCTGGCCTCATGCTCATTGTATACGTAAGTTGCTGTGAATGCATTCTGTCATAATTATACTCGGATAAGAGGTATATCGCGACACATCTATCGGCACCGCCTATGGTTCGAGATCTCAAATCGTAACCAACCATATGAAACTGGTTACCCTGCAGGTTGAACAGTAGACACTTTCCGATCTGCGCAAATCTGATGGGAGTGACTAAACTAGTGATGGCAAATGAGAGTGCCTCATTGGCACTCAGTGCGAATTCGTTTTCAGCTAGCAATTGGTGTTTTTACCATCCGTGCATACGGGATCAGGGTAATTAACCAGTGACTCAGCCTACTTAGGAGTAGTGGCAATAGATGGAAGCTGTTCCCATGGTTCCGAAATTTCCTCATCCATTATTTTCTATCTCTCCAGGTTGCATGTGTTTTACACGCCCATCGGTTTCAGTTGACGTAAATGAGTCTATATTGTGCGAAAGCGTAGAGTAGTGCTCGCTTCGGTGATATACCGTTTTTCGCCCAACACTTCATTACTGTATGAAGTAATCAACTGGGCTGTTTCGCAGGGTCACTCACTGACCAGGTATGCTTTATTGCAGGTATAAAACCTCATTTGAGTTTTATAGTGCGAAAATAGCTGAATTCTTGAAAGCGGTTGCCATTTGAGCTTCTCACGTGCACCATCCCCTTAAATTTAGCCCCCTTGAGCTGGACCTTTCTATGTATGCTTCCCTCTACATTTGCATCGCATTTAGACCAACGCGCCTTGTGCGTTGGCTCAGGTCCCAACACAAATCTTTCTCATCTTAAACTGTTCTCTGTGAGTGTGAATACGAGGTGTTCCTGTTCTCACGGCATACAATGCAGGTCGTAGACAGAACATCTGCGGTCGAGTAAATTAGTGACAAGCTCAAGCTCTTTGAGTACCTGCAGTGTGTCCGGACTGCGATACGCAGTTTCAATTAGGGTCACGGTTTAGTTTGAGGCGTCTCCACTCCACGACGCCTTTCATCCTTGTTTACGCTCAGCAGGTGGTAATAGCTTGAGCTAGGGGTGGAACTCGGCGCATAGTGGTTGGCGGCTATGACCGTGACCATTAGGTCATTGAGCTCAGCGAGCAATGCTTGACACGGTGGTTGGAAGCTGACTTTCCGGTTTTGGAGCGCCCGCTGTGTGTCATGGATTGCGACATGCAATCGCACTTGTGGCCTCGGTTAGCCGAATTCAGCCTATGTTATTCCGAGCACTGGGACCGTATCCGAAGTACGGGAAAAAATGCCAATGCACCCAGCTGGCTATTGGTACCATCTCATAGCATATCGTGACCGCCATCTGTCTCACCTTCAATGATAACCAAAAACTGTAGTACAAGCATGTCAATAGCCTACGAAAGGTAAGGCAGGGATTTCTTCCACTCAAGACGGCAAATGGCCCAACAAGAACATCTGTGGAAACAGCAAACGCGCTGCAGATGCAATATGCCTCCACGTTTCAAAGAGTGTGGCCACCAAGCGATCTACCAACGTTCGTCGTCTCCTCGCCAGTACTAATCCACATCACTTTTACCGCGGAGGCTGTATTGCAAAAGCTGACGTCTCTAGGCAAATACAGCTCGCCAGGTGTCGACACCATTCGTCCAAAGTCACTGGAAGGAGCAGCAAGCCAACTTACACTGCATTTGGCTCAGTATTTCCAGCGCTGCTTAGACCAGAATCAAGTTCCCGCTAGGTGGAAGCTTGGAAGAATAAGCCCGATTCACAAAGTTGGAAGCGGAACTGATACCTCCAAATACCACCCAGTATCCCTTCTTTCTATACTCTCCAAGGTCAGGGAATCCATAGTTTCCGATACACTGGTGTGCTATCTGGAACACCGTAACATCATCACGCCTGAGCAACACGGTTTTCGTCGAAAGCGGTCATGTACAACAAATTTGCTAATCGCACGCAGTAGTTGGACCGAGGCAGCTGACGCTGGCGAAGGTGTTGATGTGACCTAGCTGGATTTTTCCAAGGCTTCCGATCGTCTAGACCATCGGATATTACTCTCCGAGCTCCAGCATTACTGGTTCTACCACCCTTTTTAAACTGGATTGCCATCATTCTACTTCAACGGCAATTAGTGGTCAGAGTTCGAAGCGCTTTATCGGACCCTATACAAGTCGAGTGTGATGTGCCGCAAGGCTCAGTTCTAGGTCCGCATTTGTTTTTGGTGTTTATTAATAACCTTGTACAGGGAATCGCTTCAAACTTCCTAATGTTTGCCGACGATATCAAGATCTGGCGCAGGATCCAGGCGAACGCCGACCAACATGGGCTTCAGAGTGACCTCGATACAGTGTATTAATGGTCAACCCAAAATTTAATGCGTTTCAACGTCCGTACACGCAAGGTGCTTTCCATCGAATTTCCAAGCAGCTACTTATGCCACTCGGAACGAATATAATACAACGATCAACCCTCGAACATGACTTGGGTGTCCTAGTTCAAGGTGACTTGGGTTGCTCCAAGCAATCCGAAAAGGCCTCGAAGACCGGGAACCAACACCTCGGGCTGTTGCAACGAGCGTTTGAACAAATAAACAGCTCCATATTTCGACAAATTCTTAGTGCGTATGCTCGCCCCCATGTCGAGTATGAAAAGCAAGCCTGGCATCCATGGCTGAAACGCGATCTTAATGCACTGGAGCAGCCACTACGTCGGGAATCTAAGAACGTAATTGGAATGCGCAATCCTTCACACCAGAAAAGGCTACAACGATCGGCGATATTCAGTGGTAGCTATCGCAGACTACCAGGCGACCTGATTATGGCATACTTGATTCTGCAAGACCCACATCATGTGTGCCGCCCTTTACTGCAACTCAGCAACAATGCAAACCTGAGGGGCCACTCATTAAAACTTGCTGTACAGTAAAGTCGTCTGGAGTGTCGCAGAAATTTCTTTTCCATTCGTGTCTGTCACCCGTGGAATGCTCTCCCAGAATCGATCGGCACCGCACCGAAACTAACAGTATTTAAAAGACGGTTGGACGATGCACTCATCCACTTACACTTTGTTACTTAACACTACGTCTCCATCCTACACCTGGAGTTTACCATGGAATTATTTGTCGTTACCTGTGGGTGTTGTGAATCTAAGAGGATCGCAGGACTGCAGCGAAACAAACGATAAGTCCTCGTTTTCATATTTAAAGTATTAACTATTTTTCTATCCTTATCCTCATTATTGTTTTGTCGATATCTCCACCAACTATCCAACGGGACTTGTAAAGCAACGCTTCTTAACCCGTAGAAATTCCCTATTCCTTGTTCATAGCCAAGCCCCTTGTACTGTGACGCCTTTCGTATTCAATGGAGCATGGGATATGGCAACATGCTACCGAGATGTCATTAGGCCTGCTTGTGAGGATTCAGTTCACATTACATGTGTTGCCCATTGCATCAATTTGATTGCAGAGACCTTTCACAAGTTCTCGCCGGAATCCGAATGATTCGATGCAGAATTGAAGTGCTTTTGGTCTTTCTGGAAGAAAGAGGCATGTCCACACTGAGTATCTAACTCAGGAAGGTGTGGACAATCCGATCGACTCACTTGCACCGGTCATCACCAGCTGGAACACCTGGTTAGACACTGTCACATATGGTAACAAATCTGTCCATCATTACCTAGCCATGTTGCAAGTTGTACAACATGAGTTTGGAGACTCAGCTGATGTTTGTGTATTTGTGGATATTCTAACCAAAGAAAAACACAGAAAGCTTTAAAATGGCAACTGAGTTGCATTGCGACCGTTGGTAAGAACATCATCCGTCTTTTTTTAATTTCTTAACCACACTCTCCGGTAACCCATAAGATTTGCAACGACACCTCTGGTCAATGCATGTCGTTGAAAAATCCAAACTGGCATGTAACACTGCTTATCCCAAGTTGTCATAAGTGCCCAGGAGATCCTGACATCACAGACTAGCTGGCTGTTTTTGAAAGCCATTAGAGTACTCCAACTTAACCATCCCATCACCTTGTCAGTGGTCCATGCAGCTATATCGATGTTCTAGGCTTGGTCGGTTCCCCAGCTCTGACAGCGGAATGGCTAATCTATCGAAAAATGGTGGGAGAACCTCAAAGAGAAAGATGTGATAACAATGGTCTTCTGGTGTGGGATGAATGAAAGAACTTCATAAAAGGCAGACATTTCTGGCCGTCATCTATGCATTCCTGTGAATTCGGTAGAAGCTGAACGGAGCTTCAATGCCTGCAAAAATGTTGGGTCTGACAAGCGTCACTACCTTTCAGACAGTAGCACGAAGCACCTTGTTGGCCTTTATCTTAATTCCTGTTTTGAATGATGACTGGCATGTATATAGTGGATGAACGTGTCTTCATTTCTGTTTATTTTAGTCGCCGGGAAATCACGGAATTATATATTTGCGCCGCAGAAATATGGCGGGAATTTTGATTTTGCTCGCAGAAAAATATTTCACCAATGCGGAAAATTAGAGCCTTTACTTCTCAGGTAGCTTAACCTGAGAATGGAACCCTACTCATTATGCATGACTGTTTGCGCTTTGGCTACTAAGCCAGAGCTCTGCGAGTTGTGCTTTACGCAGTGGTTAGTAGTAGTTCATTGTTGACATGCTCGTTTGATTCAGTGCTACGAAAGCGTTGCATAGAGTAGGCGTTATGTGTCACTTTGTGTAGGTTAGAGGAGAAGGGAAGAACGTTATTTCTCATGCAGTCCAAAAACGGGGCGCAATGGATGCTGAACACGGAATGCCTACAGCATGATTCACGGGTGTGATAGTGTATGAAATCTAATTTGACTTACACGTCGCAGAAACGCTGGAACAGCTCCATTTCGGTCGCCTCGAAAGTACAGATGAATTACAAGTGTGGCCAGGAAAGTTGACAGTGTGATCATTATCATGTTGAGACAGAAGTAGACACCTGCATAAAATGTTGAACAAACGAAACATTAGTAATTCTTCTTAGTAGAGGGATGTTTCGTGAAGTCACTGATTAGATCTCCAGGCGCACGTTCAACCACAGCTTAACTGACCGAACACGTTGCAATACTATACCTTTTCTCAATTCGTTGAATCGTTCCCCCAAATGTTCACTTCGGTCACGCTTGAAGCTGCATCGCGTGCGTCTTATAACACCTTGCACGTGTTCACTCGTGTGAGCCATTCGCATGGACTGTGTTCAGTGCAGTCTGTAGCAAGACGATCACGTGATCTCACGTCGCGAACGCAGTCCATGCGTATATGGCTCATACGAGTGCACACGTGCAAGGTGTTATAAGACGCACGCGATGCAGCTTCAAGCGTGACCGAAGTGAACATTTGGTGGAACGATGCAATGAATTGAGAAAAGGTAGAGTAAGTAGTGCGGTGCTCAACTATGGCATTTCTCAGTCCAGTATGTAAGCATATGTTCTTGAAAGCATATTTTGTTAAAATTAAGGGCTTGGAGTGCCCGCCGTGTGGTTTGATTGTTACACGCACTCCGTTGCGACATCGGTTCACTCTGAAGTTTACCTCGATCATTTCGATCACAAGGACCGTATCCGAATTGGAGGTGGCTCGAGCTTGCTCTTTTCAAGAACTGCACTCCAAGGCCGACCAGTTTCAATCCTGATTTGGACTCGTCAGGTAGACAGAGTCTGATCTGGAAGTAAAACTCTTCACATAGTGATTGGTGGCTATCGCCGTGATCACCAGGCCATTGAGCTCTGCGAGCAGTGCTGGACACAGCGATTAGAACTTGTATGGATTTTGCAGTACCCACTGTGTGTTTTGAATTGCAACAGTAATCTCAATTGTGGCCTCGGTTGAGTTTGAAGTCAGCCTCTGCCATTTCGATCATTAGGACCGTATCCGAAGTGGAGTGACTTCGGTGTTACTCTTTCCAGCACCGACACCCAACGACCGACGGTTTCGTCCTGATTTTGCCTCATCAGCTAATGACTATTTGGTCTTTCCTTTTCACTGACATCACAACCTGCTCAGCCAACCAAATCATCTACGGTTTGCCGCTTGCGCGGGTGTCCAGTATGGTTGATGGTGCTTTGATCATACCTAGATCAATGATGGTCCACTGCCTTTCCGCTGTGGCGTCGCGTTCGCCAGTCGCTTTTCGGATCAGCTTCTGGCAGATGTTGGCATCAGTGTGTAACAGCTGTCACAATCAAGCCTGGCGTTAGTGCCTTAAATCCGTGCTTCATCGAACAAGGACATAAAGTCAGGTAAACCTACCAACGAATTACGAATAAATGTCTTACGCTTAATGCTTCTAAATACAGTGATGTAATCTTTTCTTTTCTCCGTGGCGATAAGTTTCAGTCCCTCATTGATTTCTCTCCCACACTTACTGTGAATGAAAATCATATACCCAGTTGCTTATTTGTTCGCCGAGCTGGGAAGTTTGTTTGCAAACATTTCACCGCCATGCGAGGCGGCATCATCAATGCCTCGAGATGTGGAGTGTAATCTCGCTGATTGAACTGTAGGTCGTGATCGGCGTGCAGGTGACTTTTCGAAAGTGACGACTTCGATCTGTGTCCCGTGATCTCTACCCATTTCCCCGTGGCGGAAGTCGTCGCTCGGGTTGTTGCTATTCAAGCGGCGTCTCATAATTTCTCTAAGTTCTCTCCGTCGGAGGGGTTGGTAAACTGGGTCAATCTCGATATGCATGTTGAGCGAGCCTTTGGTTGTGAACCACGCTTCCAGGAACTCCCTTGCTCTTCTTGTTTCACCTCGTACCAGGACTTCTGTTTTGGCTCAGTCAAAGCTGTGTTCTTTTTCATCCACGTGTGCTGAGACTAGCGATGATGCATAGTGCTTTTTGCATGCTATTTTGTGCTCTTGTAACCGTGTTGATAATTTTCTACCTGTTTGGCCAACATAATCCTTTTCGCAATTTCTACAACTTAGTCTTTATTCAACATTACTTTGCTCATGAGCTTCCAGTTTCTCTTTCGGTTTCGACAGAGTTTTTCTCAATGTAGCAGTTGGTTTGTGTGCTACGATGAGGTGATGTTGTTTAAATATTGCTGCCATTTCGGATATATTCTCCATATAAGGTAAAACAACGCGTCTCTCCGTCGTTGGTGTAGACTGTCTGTTTAATATGTTGTGATTTAGACACCTTCGGATGAAGCTTCGCGGGTATCCGTTGAGTTGGAAACATTTACATAGACGCTTCTCTTCTTGTTGCTTTGCCGCCGCGGTACCGCAGTGTGTTTACACTCTACCAAAGAGTGTCTGCACACAGCTTACTTTGTGGTATTTCGGGTGATTACTGTTAAATTTCAGAATTTGATCCGAAAGTGTCCATTTTCTGTAAACTGATGGTTGCAGCAATTGAATTATCAACCCGAGCTACCAGTGTTCCGAAACATTTTAAATAATTATCACAGCTGGACTCTAAACGCAAGTACGTATTTCAACTCACAGCGAATAAGCAAGAAGACGCGTCAGTCTGGCGCACAGTGTACTGAACACTTAACGGTTTACATGTGAACACGGAACCTTAGGGTGTGTCCTTTAGTGCGTGTGTGCGTGCTTATTTACGTGTGTGTGTAGGGCCAATCAGGTTCACGGTCATAGTGAGCGATCATTGGTTGAACACGTAACAGTCCTCCCTGTTTTGGCTGACGTTACAGTCATGGCTGAAAGCGTTCGATCGGTTTGCGAATCCGGGTCGATCGGCGTAATTGAGTTTCCCCTGTTGTTCTGTGTTCGTCGTGCTCTGCAGCTTGCTCTGCGATCTCCGAGTGTGACTGACTCACGGCGGGTGTGTCAGTGCTCCTGGGGCGTACATGATCTGAGTGCCGGCGAACAACCCGGCCGTCCGGAAGCTGCAAATCGTTTTGACTTCCTGAAGAATCGAGCACAGTCGCCGGCTGCCAACATTGTTCATGCGGTAACCTGGTGTAAACAGGTTGATGGTCCTGAAATGTAACTTCCGGCTTTGATTCCTCTGAAGACACAAACTTTTTCTAACGCTCCTGTACTTCAACACGCGGGTTCGGGAACAACAAATGAAGCCTCGTTCTCAGATTTCTGCCGAACATCAATTCCGCCGGGGAATTCCCGGTAGCCACAGTGGGTGTAGAACGGTAGGAGAATAGGAACCGATCCAGTTTTGTTCGCAATGTTCCAGTTCGCTGCTTTAGTAAGCCTTGTTTCACATTTTGTACTGCAAGCTCCGCTAATCCGTTTGATGCTGGGTGATACGGGGCTGATTTAACGTGTTGGATTCCGTTGTTGGCGACAAACTTACCAAATTCGGCACTGGTAAAAGGCGAACCATTGTCTGTACAAATGGTTTCCGGGATGCTAAACGTAGCGAAGAACGAGCGCATTTTAGTGATGGTGGATTCGGCTGTCGCCTGAGTAACTGGATGAACGTCAATCCACTTAGAATGTGCACCAATAAGTAGAAGAAGCATGGTCCCGTCGATCGGTCCGAAGTAATCGGCGTGGATACGCTGCCAGGGCTTGTCGGGCCAACGCCAAGGGTGTATTGGACCTGGCGCCCTGATCCGCTGATACGCCTGACAAATATCGCAATTCTTCAGTAAGTTCTCTATGTCTGAGTCGATGTTGGGCCACCAGCAGTACCATCTCGCTAGTGCCTTCATCCTCGCCACACCTGGATGAGCATCATGGAGCTCTTTAAGTATCTGTGAACGCGCCTTGGTGGGAGGGACTAGTCGAGAGCCCCAAAAACACAGCCGTCGAATAGACTCAGTTCGTTCTTCTGAATCATAAACGGTTGTAATACAACTGTCCCATCAGGAGGCCAACCCATGTTCAAAAAGCGTTTCACCATTGATAGCACGGGGTCTCGATCCGTCCATTGACGGATTGTTGAACTCCGTATCGGTGTTGTGTCTAGATGTTGCATTAGATTAACCAGTTCAAACGGAGGGTCGTGTTCATGTGCAGTTTCCGTGATCGGCAGACGGCTGAGTGCATCAGCTGTGCAGTTGCTGACGCCGGTAATATAAACAATCTTGTAACTGTAAGCACTCAAGGTTATAGCCCGTCTTTGCATCCTCGGTGATGCCATTTGTTGTATACCTTTGGTTTTCCCAAACAAGGATATCAATGGTTGGTGGTCTGTATGAAGCTCGAAAACGTCTCCCCATAAATACTGGTGAAACCTCTTAACTCCGAAGATAACGGCTAGTGCTTCCCTGTCCAGTTGTGAGTAGTTCTTCTCCGCCGTCTGTAAGGTGCGCGATGCATATGCTATGGAACGTAAAGAACCATCGTCCATGCGGTGGCACAGGACAGCACCGACCCCCCAAGGGGACGCGTCGCACTGAAGTATGAGTGGCTTGTTAGAGTCATAATGGACTAACGTTGGTGGCGAAGCAAGAGCTTGTTTTGCTTTATTGAAAGCATTTTTTGACGGGAACCCCAACACCACGATGCATTTTTGTGTAACAGCTCATTTAATGGCGATAGAACCGTCGATGCATTAGGCAGGAAACGGCGATAGTGAGATAGCATTCCTAAGAACGAACGGAGTTCATCACAACTCTTTGGCTCTGGGCTTTCTAAAATAGGTTTAACCTTGTCATTTAAAACATGTAAACCGTGTTTATCAAGCCGGTATCCAAGGTAACAAACGGAAGGTGAAAGGAACTCACATTTACACCTTTTCAATATGAATCCACTTCGCTCCAAACGCTAAAGCACGACTGCGTGTGTTCGAAGATGCTCTGTATCCGAGCGTCCAGAGATAAGAATATCATCCAGATAAGCACACGCAAAAGGAATGTCCTTCACTAGGTCGTCAATAATTCTCTGAAATATTCCGGGAGCGGAATTAATGCCAAAAAGTAAACGAGTATATTGAAATAGTCCCATGTGCGTGGTGATGGTAGTATGTTTCCTCGAAGGTACATCGAGCTCTATCTGCGAGTATGCATG